TTTCTCCACCAATGTGTCATCGGTATATAGTAGGGCTACAGATTTTTTTTTTTTTAGTTAATATTGTATCCTGGAAGGCCCAATTTTTAATAGGATTTTCCTCTGTTGAGGAGCCCTTGGGACAGCTTACAAGAAACCCTGTCATTAACCACCTGGCCCTAGCAGCACACCTGCAGTCCCAGCATCTAGGAAGCTGAGGCAGGAAGATCTTGAGGTCAAAGCAAGGATGGACTACAAGTGAGACCTTGTCTAAAAAAAACAGCAGAATCTGGGGAGATGACTCAGTGAATGATTAAGAAAGCTTCCAGTGAACCCAAATTCTGTTCCCAGCACCCACAGTGGGTGCTCACAACTGATATAATTCCAGTCCCAGGGAATCCAATGCCCACTTCTGGCCTCCATGGACACACCCTACATGTAGTATATACACACACATACAGAGAGGGGGAAGGGAGAGATTATTAGAATAATAATATTAGTAGCCACAGAAACTCTCTCTGAGGGACACTTTCTTACCCCTTCCTCTATTTTCTAAATAAGAAAACTGAGCCTCAGAAGGCTAAGCTGTCCAAGGCCATACAGATTTTAAGTGATATGACAGGATTTGAACCCAGAGCTCATGCAGATACTTGCTGTGAGAGGCAGCTCTGGACATCTGCCCTGGATAATACCACCAGCCTCCCCTCCCATCCTTGCTGTGCATACCTGAACAGCTTAGTGTTGCGGACAGAGAGGGGCTAGCCCTGGCTGTTCTTTGGCTCATCTTGGGTTTAATCCCCCACCTGGGGGGAAGCCCTTTTGCCAAGGCTGTCCCATCCAGCCCTGATGTATTATGCACTAGGCATGGGTAACCAAGTGGTGCACTCTGTCCTATGGAGCCATCCCTTCTACAGGGCCTGATCATACTTCCAACATGGAGCCCCTGGGGAGGAGAGAAAACAGAAGACACCCTCACAGACCCAACACCTCTCCATCCTGTAATTGGTCCTGGTCCTCAGGATCTGTCTCCCATCTCCACCCTCTACCTCTACTGAGAAGGGGGTTCCAGGGGAACCCCTGAGCACAACCCCTCTCCTGCTGCTGGAGCCCACCAAATCTGAATTCCAAATTCAGTCCTGCCCCTTATTCCTGGGGCCATCCAAGAAATCAAAGTGGCTTCCAAGAGTCATTCCCTGTCTGCAGATGGGGATGATGACAAATTGTGACAAAGAGCAAAACAAGAGAAAGAGGCCCTCACATCTGACTCATGACACACAACCAACAGCCAGTTCTTTGCTACAAGGGGAATTTCGTGGCTGTCCCTGCCACCATCACCTGGCACATAGATGTTGAACGTGTATTTGGTGAATTAATGAACTGAATGGACAACGGAGAGACATGGAGATGCAATGGGAGAGAGGTGGGGATGCAATGGGAGAGAGGTGGCGTCTGAGTTGAACCCAGTGCATCACATATGCTGGCTAGCACTCTAACACTAGGATACATCTCTAGCCCTTTAAGAAGTAAACAATGAGGCAGGATCTCACTACATTGCCCATACAGGGCTTAAATTTAAGCTCCTCTTGCCTCAGCCTCCAGAAAAACCAGGATTACAGCTGTACATCACCAGACCCTGCTTTTGGTGGCAAGTTCTTAAATGTTGATGTGCAAGAAGACCCCAGGCTCTGCATGCTCTTTCTTTGGTGGCCCCTTGCCCACCTGACCCCTCCTCTCCCCACTTAGGTACTCCAAGGTCAAGCACTTGCTGAAAGACCTGGATGAGCTGATGGAGGCTGTCTTGGACAAGATTCTGGCTCCGGAGTTTGGACACACCAACACTACCAGTACCCTAAACTTTACCATCTGGAATCACACACCTCTGGTTCTTATTGATGAACGGAATCCTGACCACCCAGTGATCCTCGAGTTGTTTGGGGATAGCCAAAACAGCAGCAGTCCAGCCCCAGGAAGCACCTGCAATGCCCAGGGGTGCAAGGTGGCCATGAAGCTGGTAAGTTCCCTAAGCACAGGCCATTGGTCATCCAGAGAGGCTGGTGGCAATCTATTTTCATTAGTAACCTAAGATTTGCAGAGAGGACCTAGTGCCTGTTTCATACATCTGCAAAGGGCGGAAGGTGTGTTCAGGTGTATTTTCACATGTAACTGTCAGGGGTGGGTCAGAGGAAAACTCCAGATGTCATTTCTCCTTAGGCAAGGTTGACTGACCAACAAGCCTGGGAAATCTGCCTGTCCCCACCTCCCAAGCTCTGAGATTACAAACACACACCATTTCACCCTATTTTTTAACTATTTTTCTATTTATTTTATTTTATGTGTATGAGTGTTTTGCTTGCATGTATGTCTATGCACCATGTATTTGCCTGGTGCCTGTGGATATCTGAAGAGGGTATTGGATCCCCAGGAACTGGAGGTATAGATGATTGTGAGCTGCCGTGTGGGTGCTGGGAATCAAACCTGGGTCCTCTGGAAGAGCAGCCAGCCCTCTTAACCTCTGAGCCATCTCTCCAGCCCTCACTTGGGTTTTCTATGTGAGTTCTGAGAATCCAGCTAATGTCCTCCTACTAGTGCTACAAACACTTTACCAACTGGATGTTTCCCTGAGCCCCGCAAACACTTTTTTAAAAGTAGAAATGGCTGGTATGTTGGTCGACACCTTTGGATGAGAATGACCCCGTTCATACTAGTTTATGCAAAGCAGAGAGCCACTGGCACATGTAACAAAGATGTCCAGAGTTCATCTGTGTTCAGGCATGCGTGATCCAGGCACTCAGGTGCTTTCATGAGGATTCATCACCCTCCGTCTTAGCTCAGGCCTCCCTTCCCCCGCTGAATCTCAGCAATCTCTCCCCACAGTTCCTTTCTCAGTAGAGCCAATCAAACTCCCATTAACTCCCCTCATCACATCTCACCCTTAAAATAATCCCAGTGGGCTACATGACAGCCTCTAGTGATTATCCAGTCCTGGGTCACATGCTCTGGACCTGGCAGTGCTGTCAGTTTCACCAGGACTTGAGCAGAGGGGATGCAGTCAAAGGCCAAGAAACCACTGCCCACACTGAGGCTGAGGTGCTGCTGGCTCCTATAGCTCCAATGGGAGAAAGCCTCATCTGGTATCTCCCAGAGCTCCTTCACAAGCCAGACCATGATCCAGGCGTCATGCCTGGAGAGCCCAAGGATGCCGAGAGCTCAGGTTCCAGAGGCCTGCATTGTCAGCAGCTTCCCTGCTTACTCTGAGGGTCAGCCTCGACAGTCACAAGGATCAGGTGTGAAACCTCCAGAGGGGCAACTGTCTGCCTTGCATTGACACATGGTCACAGTCTCCAAAGCCCCCACTCAAACCAGCTGATGCCTGGAGCCCAGGAGTAGATGCCACACTTAGGGTGGAGCCACAGGTTACCTATCTGAAAATTTCAGCCCAAGCCTGTGTGTCCACTAACTCTGAGGATGAGCCCTATATCCATGTGTGTCCCTGTGTGCCTGTGTGTCTGAGAGTATGTCTCTGTGTGTTTGTGTGTCATGTGTGTATACTCATTTGTGTTCTAGTGTGTCGTCTGTGTATATGTATATGTACCCATGTATGTTTGTCTGTTACCCAAGTGTGTTTGTGTATCTGAATGTGTGTGTTTGTGTGTGTTTGTGCATCTGAGTGTGTGTTTGTGTGCCCATATGTGTTTGTATCCATGTGTTTAGGTATGTATGTGTGTCTGAGTGTGTGTCTTCTGTGTGTCTTTGTATGCCTCTGTATGTGTAATATGTCTGTATGTATGTCGGAGAGGAGCTATGTATCTGTACATGTGTCCTGTGTTCATACCTAAGAGTACCAGTGGGGGCTGTGTATGACCAGCCTGGAGTGGCTTGGGGTAGTGGCCCCTGAGTATGCATGAGTTAGGATTCTAACACATTTCCCACCACCAGGTTGAAGTCATGGAACAGCTAATACGGTGCTACCCTTCCCTCCTGGGTTCCTCAGAGCAGTAGCCTTTGTGTCTTGTGAAGTCACGGGACAGCTAATATGGTGCTACCCTTCCCTCCTGGGTTCCTCAGAGCAGTAGCCTTTGTGTCTTCAGGAACCCCTCTTCCCTTCCACAGTGCAGTGCCAATGGGACTGTGTGTACCTTCCGGAACTTCACCAGTGCCACCCAGGCTGTGACTGAGTGGTATATCCTTCAGGCCACCAACATCTTCTCACAAGTGCTTCCAGAGGACCTGGTGGGGATGGGCTATGCCCCTGACCGCATAATCCTAGCCTGCCTGTTTGGGACAGAACCCTGCAGCCATCGGTAAGAGCAACTCCTGTCCTGTGTTCTAACAGACAGAATGAGTTAGGAGCCTGGCCTGCTAGGGTTCAGACCCACCCAGCTCTGGAGTGGCTGTCTGTAGCATACAGGCTGGTCTGTGCCTCTTTGTCTTGTTGAGGCTTGCTGGAGGCATGTCTCAAACAGGCTCGTGACACTACTGGCCTGCTAGGGTTCAGACCCACCCAGCTCTGGATGGCTGTCTGTAGCATACAGGCTAGTTTGTGCCTCTGTGTCTTGTTGAGGCTTGCTGGAGGCATGTCTCAAACAGGCTCGTGACACTGGAGGGAATCACTTTGGGAGAAGTCAGCAAGGAAAGTAGATAAAGAAGGAAGATAAGATTGGGAAAGGGCCGGGCATTGGTGGTGCATGCCTTTAATCCCAGCACTCGGGAGGCAGAGGCAGGTGGATCTCTGTGAGTTTGAGACCAGCCTGGTCTACAAGAGCTAGTTCCAGGACAGCCTCCAAAGCCACAGAGAAACCCTGTCTCGAAAAAAAAAATTGGGAAAGGATGCGATGACTGTGGGTGAAGCCTGGGCTTGGCCTGATTCATGGGAAGATCTGCTATGGTGCAGAGCAGTCCTCCCTTGATAGAGGGGCCAGGCTTTTTATAATGCCCCCAGTTTGGCTGTTGGCCACCCCAGGCACAGGGCAGCCTTGGGTTATTAGCCTGCAACTCCCAACCACCTGATGGCATATCTGGGTGGGCACCTGGTATTTTCTGTTTTTTGTTGTCTTTTCTCTAACCCAGTAAAATCATTTTACCCACCTCTTCCAGTTACTATGAAGGGCATATAGTTAGGTCCACACTGGCACGCAGAGCAAGGCTTATGAGGGCTCAAGATCCCCGCTTCCCTATAAAAGCCCCTTCATGGTGAGAGAGTGGCAGAGTGGCAGGGGTTGGCAGTGACCCAGAAAGTCCAGGCTATCCCAGAATCCCGTTTCCTTCACCTGGACATGGAGACTTGTGCCCTCCTGATCTGAACTCTCACACTTCAGTTCTCAATTCTGCTGCTACTCAGGAGCTCCTTCCTAAATCTCATGCTTGGGCATGTGAATGCTTCCAGGTTCATCTTCTAGGAACTGTAGCCTCAGCCCTGAACATTCCACGAGCTCAGTGAAGAATCGGCTGAGAGCTGCAGATTCTCTACCCTCCTCTATGCACAGGTATCCTGGGACACTATTTTGCACATAGTGTCAAGGAGTTGCTAATCAAACCCTCAAGAGACAGAGACAGGAGGACCAAGAATTCCTTGGCTACACACACACACACACACACACACACACACACACACACACACACACACACACCCACACACCAACATAGTACCAATATATCCCATAATGCAAATCAGAAAAATGGCAGTGTGTATATAAAATCTTTTTCATTTTACATACCAATCCTAGTTCCCCCGTCCTTCCCCCAACTCCATCCCATCTACTCATCAGAGAGGGTGAGGCCTCCCATGGGGAGTCAACAAAGTCTGTCACATCACTTTGAGGCAGGACCAAGGCCCTCCTCCCTATATCTGGGCTGAACAAGGTATCTCTCCATAGGGAATGGGCTCCAAAAAGCCAGTTCATGCACTAGGGATAAATCCTGGTCCCACTGCCAGTGGCCCCATAAACTGCCCAAGCCCCACATTCAGAGGGTCTAGTTTGGCCCTATGCAGGTTCCCCAGCTGTCAGTCCAGAGTCAGTGAGCTCTCACTTGCTCAGGTCATCTGTGTCTGTGGGTTTCCCCATAATGATCTTGACCCCTTTGCTCATATTATCACTCCTCCATCCTTCAACTGGACTCCAGGAGCTCAACCCAGTGGTTAATTGTGGATCTCTGCATCTGCTTCCATCTGTTACTGGATAAAGGCTCTATGATGACAATCTGACTACAGGGGAAGGCCAGTTCAGGCACCCTCTCCACTATTACTTAGCTGGGATCACCTTGTGAATTCCTGGGAATTTTCCTAGTGCCAGGTTTCTCCCTAACCCATAATGTCTCCCTCTATCAAGATCTCTCTTTCCTTGCTCCCCCTCTCTGCCCTTCCCCCAAATGACCATCCCTCATGTTCTCCTCCTCCTCCCCTCCCCCTTCTCCCTCCTTTTTACCCCACATTCCGGATTTACTAAGGAGATCTTGTCTTTTTTCCCCTTCCCAAGTGGATCCAAAAATGTCTCTCTTAGGATCCTCTTTGTTGCTTAGGTTCTCTGGGGTTGTGGATTGTAGGCTGGTAATCCTTTGCTTATGTCTAATATCTTCTTATGAGTGAGTGCATATTATATTTGTCTTTCTATGTCTGGGTTACCTCACTCAGGATAGTT